TATATATATATATATATATATATATATATAGATAGCTTTAGGGAGATATTGTAAAATGGCAAGAGATAGAAATATGTGAAATTGACAGTTTGAAAGAAGGTAGAAGAAGTTTGGCAGGTGTTCAGTCTGAAAAATAATGAGGAAACAACAAAATGGTGAGGTACAGATGATGAGGACAATCGACCACCTATTAAGGAAAATAGATTGCAGAATTCCAAAGAGAATAAGACGGAGAAAATTCTTCAAATAACATAAACCAAAATAAAAGTCTCAAAATCATAAATTAAAATAAATAGTTCACATGCAAAAAAAACCCTAATTCTACCTAAAAAAATTCCGAAAGGGACCCATGAAGACTGACGATAGAATACGCGTGGAAGAATCCCATTGTTTGAATTCTCATAGGACATTCAGCTACGATATCGAGAAATTGTAGGATCACAGAAGATGGCTCTTTTGCCACTCTCCCCAAGTAGAAGGTTTCGCCTTCTTTCAAAAAGCATCTGAAATCCTCGTAATATGGCAACAATTCATTAAAATTAAATATAACATAAATATTTTAATCTACTAATAAATCAATCTTACAGTCATTATTTAATCCTCTTAGTGATTTTGAATGGCCAAGAAGCTCTATAATTTAGGTTTCCCAAAAGAACCTATAGGAAATCTCTCTTTCTTCAATTTGTTCCACACCAAGTCACCTTCCATAAAAGCCTAAGATTTTCAGAATTTATATGTTCGCTTGATATTTACCATTCTGCTTAGCAATTTTCTTCCTCACCTGCTAATATAAAGTCTGAATATCTCTGACTAAAGCCTCTGATCAATACTAAGCTCAATAGCTAGAAGTATCAAAACGAACTCCAATAGTATGAAAGGATTAAGCCCGTATACAATCTTAAAAGGATCGTGACCTGCGGAATGTATAAAGAAACGACTAAAGGAAAACTGTACCTAAGGAAGCACAACATCCCACTTTCTAATGTTCTTTCCCACCAAACACCTAAAGAGATTTCCAAAACTGAGATTTATCACTTCTATTTGTCCATATCTCAGTGGGCATGTTGTTGAACTAAATTGAAACTTCGTATCAAGCTTATCCCATTGGGTCTTCCATAAATTGCTCATAAACTCCACTTTATCCGAAGTAATTTTCCTGAAGACGCTATGAAGACAAGTTATCTCCCTAAAATATAGATTGCAATTTTGTGATATGTTAATCATTTTGTGGCAAGAAAAAAAATATGTCATTTTGGAGAATCGATCTACCAATATCATAATAAAATCCTTACTCCATTGTATTTGTGGCAAACCCAACACAAAATTAATGCTCGCATCCAACCAATGTGCCTCTAAAATGGGAAGGGGATTAATATTCTCAAATCAAACTAAAATAACATTCCCTAAATTTTATAACATCTCTCTACATCTCATACCAATATGGGCTAATAAAAAGTTTCTTTCACTAAGGAACTCAATTTTGTCATTATCAAAGTGTCCAACCATTCCTCCATTACGACACTCATGTAAATTAAATTCTCTGAGCAAACTCCTAAAAAGTATAATCTATTCTTGAAGAATAAACAATCAACTGACCTATGGAATGGTCTATCATGACAACCCAAATCTCTTAAAATCCTCGTCAGCAACAAAGAAATTATTTAGCACTTCAAATTTGACTACATGCATTTTTACGGCGGCAATCGATAAGCCTTGCTACATACTTTTTAATTAAAATAGCTTACATATAGCCTTTTCATAGCACCTAACTCCAATCAAAACCAATAAACGGAAAACTAGGGGAAGAGACATGGACATTAATTCATATGTTCTAAAAAACTATAAAAAAATTTTAAATGTAACAAAAAACTATAGTTTTCATAATCAAATAAAATCATAAAGTTCTCTCTCAAGATTCTCTCTACAGATAGTATTTTAATGTGTTATTATTATCATTTACAAGGTCCTAGTATTATGTTATATCGGTCCCAGAGAGCAATTTAGTTTTTTGTAGTTTATTATTGTTTAGTATAAATATGACTAATATGTACATTAAAGCGTTCCGAGAGGAATGAAGGCCAAGAAAGTAGAAGATCTAGAGAAGAAATTATAGAAATAAATAGGTCACATCAAATCTGAAATAGACAAGCGTTTCTCGGCCTTGGAGGGGTATTTCTCGTCTATTAAAGAGCCCTGGAAGAAATGATGA